TCTCACAAAGAACACTTCCAACCCATATGCCTTCACCAATAAATTCCCAAATATTTAAGTGAGGAGTAGTATCAGTTCTACACAGATTCCTCCAGAGAACCGAAGAAAAAGGCAGTACTTCCCAGTTCATTCTATGAGGCTAGCTTAACCTGATACCAAAAGCAGGCAAAGATAATACAAGAAAAGAAAACTATAGACCAATTTCGTTAATTAATATATGTGTAAAAATCCTTCACATAATTTTATCAAATCAAATCTAACAATAAATACAAGAATAGCACATCATTACCAAGTGGGGTTTATTCTGGAAATACAAAGTTGGTTTAATATTTAAAATCAATCATTATAATTTACCATATTGATAATAACTAAGAAAGAAATACACATGGTTATTTCATTGGATGCAGAAAAAAAAAAGCATTCAAGAAAACCCAACATCCATCTGATTTAAATAAAGAGCAGACTAAAATACTCCCAGTAATCTATGAATGAGAAACTTCTCCACTCTGATAAAGGACATCTAGGGAAAACTACCGCTAATATCCTACTGGAGACAGTCTGAGTGATTTTACAAGGTGAAGATGTTCACTCTGTTCAACATTGTACTGGAGGTTCTGGCCAGTGCAGTAAGGCAAGAAAAAGAAATTAAATGCATTCAGATTGTAAAGAAAGAAGTAAATCTATCTTATTCATGGACAATATGATTACCTATATAGAAAATCAGCTGGAATCTACAAAAAAAAAAACTATAAATGTTTATCCCATTATTTATTCGATACAAAGTAAATATACAAAAAATTGCATGATCTAAAAATAAATGGAGACTAATAAGAATATTACTTATCATAGCAACAGAAGTATGAAGTACTTGGGGATACTTCTTTTTTTAAAGATTTTTTTATTTATTTACTTGACAGATGGAGATCACAAGTAGGCAGAGAGAGAGGAGGAAGTAGGCTCCCCAGCCCCAACTCGGGGCTTGATCCCAGGATCCTGGGATCATGACCTGAGCTGAAGGCAGAGGCTTTAACCTGCTAAACCACCCAGGCGCATCTTTTGACAAAAGATGTGAAAGCCCTTCATGCTGTAAACTAAAAAATACTGTAGAGAAATTAAAGACAACCTCAAGCAATGGAGAGGTCTAATATGTTCATGGTTTAGAAGACTCAATATTTTTAGGATGATATTTCTCTCAAAATGGATACATAAATTCAACACAATCCTATCAAGATTAGCATAGCTGGCTCTTTTGTAGAAATTGTTAGGTTGATTCTAGAATCCATATGGAATGCTAAGGACTTAGGGTAGCCAAAACACAAGTTGGAGAGCCTACATTACCTACAACTTCAAGACTTAGTAAGTTACAGTAATCAGGACAGTTTGTTATAGACAGATAACATCTTTTTTTTTTTTTTTTAAGATTTAGTTAATTTAGAGAGTATGTGTCAGTGGGGGAGGGCAAAGGCGGAATGAGAATCTCAAGCAGACTCCGTGCTGAGTGCAGCCTATGTAGGGCTCAATTCCAGGACCCTGAGATCATGAACTGAGCCAAAATCAAGAACTGGACACTTAACAGACTGAGTCAGTCTCCCAGGTGCCCCTGCACAAGTAACATTTTTTATTTGCCCGTAGAGAACCTAGAAATCTAGACCCACACGTATATGGTGAAGTGACTTAAAATAGACGTGCAAAGATAGTTCAGTTCAAATTCTCATGAAACAATTGGACATCCATATTTTTTTTTAAATTTGCAGCACATACAAAATTAACTCAAAACATAGTCCTAAGTGTAGAGCTTTCTAGAAAAGGACACAGGAGAAAATCTTTGCGGTGTTAGGTTATGCAGATTCCATAGATGAGGGCAGTGCATGACTCATAAAGAAAAATTGATAAATCAGATGCTAGCATAATTAGGTATGTGTGTTCTTTAGAAGGTCCTGTTAAGAAATGAAAGGAAAAGTCACGAATGGGAAGAACAGTTACAAATCACAGATCAGATTAAAGACCACGCAGATTATGGAAAGAACTCTCGAAACTCGTGGACCAGAAAGGGGCGGAGCAAATATTTGAACAGACCCTTCCCCAAAGAGCACGTAAACTCCCCAGAAATACAAATTAAACCCACAGCGAAACACCACCACACACTGGAATGTCTGCTGTTGAAAAGACCCACCAAACCCGTGCGGGCGAGAACCGGGAGCCACTGGAACTGCCATACCTGGAGGGTAGTCCTGTAAAATGAAGCGACTGCTTTGGGACAGTCTGGCAGGTTCTTGAACAGTTAAGTGTACGTCTAGCTACCACCCAGCCATTCAGGTCTTCGGTATTTGTCCAAAATAAATAAAATCTCCTCTCTCTACAAGACTCAGACCCCAGGAGTCCGAGCAGATTTGCACTAGCCGCAAACCAGAAGCAACCCCGGTGTCCGAGGACAGGTCACGGACAGATGGGTGCGGGCACACCTGTGTGGAGTGTTACCCAGCAGCATGGGGGGGGGGGGCTGCTGGTGACACGGGAAGTGACAGGGATGGTCGTCAAAATAACCATGCTAAATGCCAAAATGTCAGACAAAGGATACATGCTCTAGGGCTCTGTTTACATAAAAGCCCGCAAAATACAAAGGCATCGTGGCAGAAAGCACGCGGGTGGTTGCCTGCCAGGGCTGAGGAGGGAGCACGGCTCCCAACAGGTTCACGAGGAAACAGACCCTTCACCATCTTGATTTGGTTGGCGGTTTCATGGTCCTGTATGGAAGTCAAAGCTCGTCAAACTGTAACACGGACGGCTTACTGCCTGTCAGTCGTACCTCAATAAAATTGTTCTTAAACTCCCTCGCCGTCGCGGAGCTGACGTGCCGTTAGGAGAAGGTGTCATGGTGGCGGCCGGAGACCGATGCGCGTCTATGTTGCGCACGTGCGCGCGCATGCGTAGCTGCGTAGCGTCCGCTGTTGAGAGGCGTGTGAAGCCCGAGAAAGCCGCGTGACGAGAGGAGGAGGCCAGGAGCCTTCTGAGCGGAGGCTGGCTCAGGCGCCTTTGGAGGCTCTTTTAAGATCTGTCCATTTCGGTGGAGTTTCAAGGGGCCGCGCTGGCGCTCACCTGAGAGGAGAGCAGCTTTCCCGGACCGCGCAGGCAGGTGGCCGTCCTTGCCTCAGGAGGCAGCAGCTGGGAAGGGTGGGCAGAGGTGAGCGTGCCCCGAAGCCCACTTCTGCCAAAAAGCCGTTCTGGGGGGGCATTTGTAGACTGGTGACCCCAACCCGAGTCACAGCCTCCAGTCTCCTGCAGGCAGAGGCCGTCACCCCTTGGTTTCCAAAGAGTTTGGAAAGAGCCGGTTGTCTGGTCCCGGTGACCTTTGTTGTTGGGGTGTGCGGTGCCCCGTAAGGCCGGCCCTCGCGTCTGCGTGGAGGAGGGGAGCTCTCCGGCCGCGGAGCGCGTGTCGGCCCCGCCGGGGCAGCGTCCCAGAGCAGGGCCCCCCCGACCGAGGAGCTCGGCCCCGCGGAGGTTGGGGGTGCGGGAGGAGAGCCACCCGCCGCCCCATCCACAGGGGCGCCTGAACCAGGGTCCTCCCCAAAAAAGTGCCCGCTCGTAACGGAGACTTCAGACTAGCTGCGTCCTGGGACAGAAGAAAGAATGGTAGGAAGCAAAGGGATTAAAAATGCTCTGTTTTGGGGCACCTGGGTGGCTCAGGCGGTTAAGCGGCTGCCTTCGGCTCTGGTCATGGTCGAGGGATCGAGGGATCGAGACCCGCCTGGGTCTTCCTGCTCAGCGGGGAGTCTGCTGCGCTCTCCCCCTCCGCCTGCCTGTGCGCATGCCCGCACGCTCAGTCACTGTCCAATAAAATTTTTTAAAATGCTGTTACATGTGGCATAAACAGAAGTGTGGGGTTCTTTATTCCAAAAACATGTTTGCATTTTGCTCACCCCCTGGTTTTTGAAAACTGCCTAGAGAGCAATGTAAAGATTTCTGCCTTATGATTTAACATGAATTTGGTGACAAGAGTGGAAAAACGCATTGAGCTAAAGCCAGTTGTGTGTTTCTGTTTGTTTCTGTGAAATGTTTATAAAACATACTTGATTTCTGTCACTTGTCTCTCTGTATTTCTGTCCACTTGGGAATTTTCTCCTAAAAGCAGCATGTCCTGTTGTGTAGGGTACCCATGAGAAACTGAGACTCCAGGCCCTGGGACGGGCTTGTCATGTTCTCCTGTGAGGCTGGAGCCATGAGGAGCAGAAGTCCCACCCCGGCTCCTGCTCATCCTTGCCAGCAGAGGTCCCAGGGGCTTGCGCTTCTGGGACCTTCAGCAGCCCCAGACTTACGCTGCACCGTGCCTGCTGCATCTCTGAGGCGTTAAGCCCCGTCAGTCCTAGAGCAGTCCCTCTCTCTTTTGGGTCCCGGTCCCCTCTCAGGATCAGAAGCAGCCAAGGGGCGAAACATTCGCATTTAACTTCAGGGGCTCCCTAGACCCCTGACCCAGAGCAGGGGCAGGCGTTCATGCCCATCTCAAGTAACCGGATGTATTTCTTTGCCAAGGATAGGGGCAGCACTCTGTGACCTGGGGAGTAACGGTATCATTAAGTTGTGTTCTTACTAATAAGCTGTTGGACCAGGTACAAGGAAGAGACTAGGACACAAGTCGTATTTTCATGGCTCCAGGGAGGGCCTGCATTTTGTCACCAGGGTTTGCATCCATATGGTTTGTGTATATGTTTGTGATTGGTGGGGAAATTAGGACTTTTCAGTATCCTCTTTGCACCCTACTGTCTGGTTCTCGTTTGTTCTGCTTCACATAATCGTTAAATTTTACACAGAACAACCAAGTACCTCCTGTTCTGCGCTCAGACTATTGACTGGGAAGCCAAACGTCACATCTCCCATATGCAGTGACTCAGTGGTCTGGGTTTTTGGCACTGTTTCGTTAATTATTTGCTCTTTAATTTTATCCTAGAAACGAATTTTCCTAAACTGGAATCTGTTAACAGTACACTTTTTCTTTCTTCTTGTAGCTTGTACCTCCTTTTAAGCCTCAAGTAACATCTGAGACAGATACCAGATATTTTGATGAAGAATTTACAGCTCAGACTATTACAATAACGCCACCTGAAAAATGTAAGTACATCTGACATGCACATGATGACATTGTAATATAATGGAAAACAGCAACCACTCTGTTGATTGGATATTTTCAAGATCGAATTCCACAGTGACTTATTTCATTTCATCCCACTTAAGAATATGAAGTTCCATGTGGAAGTATCAAAGACAGGTAGCTGAGAGAAAAGTTTTGGGGAGTTGGAAAAATTTTATAAAGAAAAATTGTAGCCTGAGAATTATAGACTAACCTGTAGACAACCTCGCCTTTCCTTACTATTCTAATACTTTCTTTCGCCATCGGCTGGAAGGACTCTGAAAGTGACCCTTCCCTGTTCGCCTGACCGCTGACTCACATGCCCCCTGCAGAATCGTGCTCGTTCTGGTCTCCTTCAGACTTAATAGTTTTTAATTCACTTTAAATTGAATCACCTTTTTTTGGTAATTTAGCTTTGTCCTAATAGTATTTGTGAAGACATAATTTAGTGTGCTAGTAATTTTTTGATAGAAAATTAAATTACATGTCTATTAACACAGTACATTCAAGTACCACTTCATATTGTTCCACGTATGCTAGTATGTGTGCACAGTTCAATAAATATCCTAAATAACTGGGCTTTAAAGGAAGGAAAAGGTATCAGATGTAACTTATAAACACTCTTGTGCCAACAGAGGGCTCTGTACCTGTCATTATGAGCTTAGCAATGAGGATAGAATTGAGTTTCAGGGACATGGAAAGCCAAAGATTTCTTCAGGTCACACATCATTTGGCTCATGATCCTGTTGTGTTCTTTTTTTTTCTCCTTTTCTTTCCTTTAGATCCCTTCCTACTTCTCCCCTCTCTTGTTTGTGAAAGGCAGAGTAGCTGGAGGTGCTGTTACAAAACCAGCATCCACGAGAGGGAAGGCTCCAATCACAGATGCGGTCGGTCACCTGATCGTCCGCTGAAAGGCAAACTAGGAGCCATCCCGGTCTAGAGTTTCCAACCCATAGCCTGACAACAAGGGACCATGAACACACCCTGAAATGAAAAATATGATCATGTATTCATATGTGCACTTGGCTTTCTTTAGACTGGCCAGAAGTTAAGAACCTCTTAACTTTCATCATCTAAGGGAAGAGATTGAAACCCAGGGAGACAATGAGCTTCCCAGGTCCCCCAGTTAGTGTCAGCAATAGCCAGGAGCAGGACGCCATAGCTTGGCCAAGCTGTGAGCTGGGAATATGTGGGACTGCTATCCCCAGTGGGACAGTGGGCTTCCATTCTCTCTTGTGTGTCATGCTAACGTCTTAAAATCTGTAAGAGGAGAAGACTGTGTTGGAAATGCCACAGATTCTTGGGCAAGTAGCTTAGGACTTGTGTGAGCAAAACGATGCGCTAGGGCCTTGCCACTGTGTCCACTAGCCCCAGAGTGGATAGTGGTGACCCACATGTCTGAAAGGCAGGCAGCACCAGTGAGGTGTTGGAAGGGCCCAGGAGCCCTTTCTACTCCAGAGCATTTGCCAGACCTCGTCATTGTAATAACCTTTACTGCAGTCAGACCACATCATTTCCCTGTCCACAGCCCTCTCATGGCTCCCGAACTCTGCACTTAAAACCAGAATGGCTCATGCTGACTTCCACAGCCCTGTCTGTCCAGTCCCTGCTCCCGCTCCATCTTGCCCCACCGTGCCTGGATTCAGCCTCACCTTGATCATGCCACGCCTCACTGTGCCTTGGGATTTGGTTGTTAACAGCTGTCTCTGCCTGCCATGCTCTTTCTTCCGACATTTGCATCAACAGCTCTTAACTCCCTCAGATCTCAGCTTAAATGTCACTTCCGCAGAGCGCTTGCTTTCACCTCCCAATCCAAAGAGCAGTGCAACCCATTGGGCACCGCCTCCCCCACCCCTCGATTCTGTACATTGACAACTTGTTGATACTCTTCTGGTTAATTTGTTCGTTTCTCGGTTTACTGTTTGTCCAACAAGAATGCAGTAACCCTGAGAAAAAAGGCTTGGTTTCCTATTCACAGCTAGCCCCAGCTCCTGGCTGGGTATCTGGCCCGGCATTGGTATTCAGTAAATATGTACGATGTGAAGGAATAAACACGTTATGGTGAGGGCCTGGTAGTTTCCTGGCCAGAAGGAGGCCCAGCTCTTTACAGATGGTGCTGTTGGCCATCCATACCCAGGACTTTGTGCTTCGGCCTCCCTCCCCACGTGACGTCCACAGCAAGCACTAAGAGGGCGAGGTCCCAATGTGTCTGTGTCGGCCTCAGCCTCTTCGAGACTCTTTTCTTTGGTAAATAGAGCTTTGGCATTTGTGGACTCTTTTAAGATCGCTCAGTACATGGTCGTGGACCTCACAGAAATAGGCTCTGCAAATGCAAAGCCATGAGCACAGTTTGCTTCAGACCCGTCAGAGTCCAGTCCTCACATGGGAGAGACCTGTGAGGCTGAGTCTCAGGAAAAAGGGGGCGGAGGAGGATGAGGAGAGCCTGGGGGGTGGTGACTGTGTCATCCCGGCTTTGCCACTCTTTCCCGAGGAAGGGGCAGGTCACTTTGCCCTCTAGGAAAGGGGACACAAGGCTGGATGGTGTCCCCAAGCCTCGGCTTTCCCCCATAGTGCCTGAGAAGCTGTCCAGGTAGGAAAGGCACCTGGAGTTGGATAGCTGTGAAGAGCCCTAGTTTTGCTTCTGTTTGAGTCTGTAGTGTTCTTTGTCCTGTGACACACTGCCTGAAGCTTGAGGCTGGGCCCAGTACAACGGACACCCCGCAGAGGAGAGTGGGTGCGAATCTGGGGTGGGGGGCAACCTAAAGTGGCTGCCAGGGAGCAGGAACCTGGAAGGACACAGCAGAGCAGCTCCCACAGCCATGACCTTGAATCCGTGAAATCTTTAAAGTTCTGCGGTAGGTGCTGCCCTGGCTGTAGGTCCTTCTTCACCACAGACTTGATTTCAAAGCCCAAGGGTACCTGGGTGGCTCAGTAGGTTAAGCATCTGCCTTTGGCTCACGTCATGATCCCTGGGTCCTGGGTTGGAGCCCAGTATCAGGTTCCCTGCTCAGCTGGGAGCCTGCTTCTCCCTCTGCCTGCCACTCCCTGTGCTTGTGCTCTCTTTTAAAACAAAAACAAAGCCCTGGCTGATGAGGTCCAAATCTCTTCAAGACTCACCTTGCATGCCTTACCACTAACTCCACACTCACTAGGCACTTATCATGCTGAGAATATGTCATTAACAGGCACGCTGTGGCTTCATTTCTAGAACTTTATCAAATGACATGGAAATGTTAAAAGATGCTTTAGGTCACTCAGCATGGTTTCTAGAATATCATGTGAACCTGGTGTCCCAGCTTCTCGATCAGTAATGTAAAATGTTTGATCACTCAAAGCAATCCTATTCTTGAAAGAATATGTCATTTTAGATGTGGGGAATGCTGTCCACGCCCACTGACCCCGGGTCCTGAAGGGATAAGGAGTCAGTTTCGAGCAGGAGGCTCACACACTATGGTCCCTTCCAAGGTGGGTCCCAGAATCCACCTACCATGGAGGCCTAGGAACGTGTGGCTGTGCAGATATCTGAACCCGGAAACCTGAGTCCAGCAGCAGCAGCCTGTGTCTGTCGGGGCTGTCTGTCTGACTTCCCAAGTCGGCCCCTGCGGAGGGAGCAGATGACAGCACTCAATAGGCTGGGCTGAGGCCAGTGGCCCCTCCCTGCTGGAGGGAGGGCTGGGGAGCATGGGGCCAGGTCTTTAAAGGGATGGTCCCTGGAAGCATCTTAGATCCCCTTAAGAGACGGATCAAGGGAGATTCGGTGAAACCTCTGACTATGATTACATGTAACGTAATCTTGCAGCTTCGAGGGGTGTTGCTGGTGAGCAGCCCTGCAGCCGCTAAAGCATGGTTTTGTTCACGGAAGCCCTCCACAGTAGCCTGTTAGTGACGGCCTCCTTCCCACTCGCCACCTGGCTTTTAGGACACAGAATGGAGTTACTTTTTAGAACAAATCAGCAGTTCGACAGGCAAAGTGTTCCTTGCCGACAAACAGCTGCGGTCACATGCCAGATTGTTCTCACTGGTGTTAATTAATTGAACAGATTTTGGAATGTGTTGTCTTGCATTCTATCCTTTCATGGTCCTCCGCTTTCCTCTTACAGGAAGAGAGGATTTCTTGGAGATCGAGTAGCTCTTAACGCCATGTAGTTACATTTGTTGAATGCTATAAGGAAATGAGCCTCCTTGGGTCACAGATTCTGATGTGGGGTCGGGAGTTGATCCCTGTTTGCTTGTTCCAGATGAGTCTCGTGTTCGCAGCATGGTTCTTGGGTGTTGTCAGCAACTGTCCCTATGATCCTCCGTTCAGAGCAGGAATACATTTCCAGACGTTAGTTGGTGTGAGGGGCTCTGGCTGGGGCAGGCCGCGGCCGCCTCGCAGTCCGGCCCCAGCCTCCCGCACAGGCAGTCCGGGGCTCTCTGTGCATTCACTGTGCAGAAACATGCAGCCAAGCAAAGCTGTTGGTAGGGGATACTGTTTCCTTGAAATGTGATTGGCACGTGTCTGAATCTGAAGGCTAAGCTTGCAGCTGCCTTTTCTCTAGTTGTTATACTTTGTGACTCCACAACAGATAGGCCATCTCCAGCACCTTTCCTGCAGCCAAAAATACTGTGAAATGTACTTCATCTGAATGATGTGTGTGGTTTGCTTGGTGCCTAACCAGCATTTGATAAGGAGGCAGAGCTTTGCCTAAGTCACAGTCCTCTCTTGAACAGCTTATATAGTTAGGCTTGTCTGCAGAAGGACAGAAACCCTTGGAGTTCTGTGGTCTACACGGAACAGGGAGCCCCACATCCTCCTCATGGATTGATTGCCCTCTAATCAGTGATTTTTTTTTCTGGTACATTCAAGGTCACGAATTTTGGTTAGCAACTTGCTCCCATTCCTACAGTCTTCTGTATTTAGAATAGTATATCCAATAGAAGCATCGTGAGAAAAGAAATGTTTGCTCTCCAGAGGGTTGTGTGTCATTGAGGGGCACAGAGTGTTGTCCTTGTTGTGTGACAGGGTAAGGGCCCACCATACAGAGGCCTGTGTGCTTTCTGTTGTTACATGACCTCCATGCTCCTGGAGAGGCTGGAAAATTTAAAGAATTGGCACTGTGTCCCTTATTGGTATTGGAGGAAGTGGAATTATTTTGCTTGAAGAAAAAGAAGGTTGGGTGTTTGAAATCCTTCTCTGGCTCTTCCCCTGTGGGACAGCCTCTGACCCCTCACACTTGGGGAGAGCAGGAGAGGCTTTGTGGGCACCCCCTGAATAGACAGGACTCCCCAAGGACAGATGGTCTTGGCCCAGAGCCTGGAGCAGGTGCACAGGGGATGGTGTGGCCAGGGTGATTGAATGTGTGACCACATAGAAGGAAGAGCTTCCTTGCCGTGCAGACTTCAGGACGTTGGGAGAAGGGCTCGGGGGGATCATTTGAGATCTTCCGAATACAGGAAGGCAGGGAAGGTGAAAGGGGGCAGCCCAAGTGAAAGCAGCTTGCTTCCATGCCTTCGTGTCTGCTTGCTGCTGGTTTCCTGTGGAGCTAGTATTAGCTGCTATCTGGCCCTCTTCCTTTGTGTTCCTCTCTTCACTCTGGCTCAAAGGTGCATCTTAGGGAAACTGGTAATGGTGACCGCAGGTGGATACAAGATGGGAAGTAAATAACGCAAACAATGTCCAATCGAGGTCTCATATGAAGCTTTATTTCGCAGTCATACCTAAAGCACCATGAAGAAAAAATGCATGCATTTGAAGGCGCTGGTACCGGATTCTAGCCAGACTCTCCTGGGGCCTGTGGGCCGGACTGCCCACTGCAATTTTGACAGGTGTAGTTTCGTGAAATTGAAGGCCACTGAAGCCCATTCGCTTCTTCTTGTTTAAAAAGAAAATCTGGTTTTCTTGGATACTATTTTTTCACAGTGTGTTGGGTCTTAAGAGGTTCACGGCTTGAAGGAGATGACGTGAGGGTGTTACTTTGGTAGATCATGTGTGTGAAAGGGAGTGTTTGGGAGTTAGTGTCGTTCCTTTGTGTTGTGCTCATGGCCACGAGCGTCTCAGAGCTCATTGTCCGCGGCTGGCCTTCCCTGTGCTAGACGTGGGAACTGCGTAGACTAGAGGCGCTGTTGCAGGCAGTAACCGTGGCGCTAAGTGGCCGCTCTGTGCCCGCAGATGACGAGGACGGCATGGACTGCGTCGACAACGAGCGGCGGCCGCACTTCCCTCAGTTCTCCTACTCTGCCAGCGGCCGCGAGTAAGGCCCGCCCTGCTCCTTCACGGTCATCCCAGATGTCCTCCTCGAGATGGTTCCTGGACATCACACCAGTCGTAGCTCTGACAAAGCAGGAGCGCCTCCAGACACCCCGCCCACTCGCACCCCCACGAGAACACACATGGACGCGACACACTTGTTTGTTTCTGCATGAAATTGTGTCTCCGTCTACGGTCTCCTGCTGCTGCTGCTACTGTCTTACTATTCTAGCAACTTTAAGAGGTAATTTTACAATCTTTGGAAGTCATGAGCCCACCGTTGTTCCTTCGTGCACCAGTTGTCATCTTTCGATCTTTTAGTTTTTGTTTATCCCTAACAGTGCAGGCTAAATGAGATACACTGATTCTAGGTACATTTTTTAACTTTCTAGAAGATACATCGAAAACTAATTAGACTGAGAAGATTTAGTTTATAATTCAGAACGAGCACTTGTGGCAGGTGGTGATGTGCACATGCAGAACTGTAGGGAGGGGTTAAGAAATCAGGTGCATACGGTGGGGATCGCGCACTCAGCCCTGGCCGGAGTCCCTAGGGACGCACCTGAGAGAAGGAGCGAGCGACCGTTGGGCTAGAGCGCTAGATACGCACGTAGTCCCCGTTGGACGCCGCAGAGAAAGCCCGCTGTTCACCCGGATGTCCAGATGTCATGCGTGGTCATGGGCAAAGGGGACACTGCTCTTCCAGGGAAGGAGGCATACGCACGGCAGAGGCAAGGTCGCTTACAGGCTCGATGACACGATTCGCACCAGAGAGCATTTTTTCCCCCTGTGCTTGGAAACCTTTTCCCTTCTTGATATTTATCACCTCTGATGGCTGAAGAATGTAGACAGGTAGAATGATCCTGCTTTTCACCAAAATTTGTACACCAAGGTAAACAGGTGTTTGCCTTATCTGGTTTTAAGTTTTGACTTTCAGTTCTACGTGAATTAGCTTTTTCTCGGATGTTAAAACTTTGAATGTCCTTTTATGGTTTTGTTTATATTGCAGTAGTATTTATTTCTTAGTGAAGACAGTTGTGTGTCATGTTAGCAAATGCAGCTCCGACTTACATGAACTAGACTCACTGCAGTTTATTTGGACCCATGTGCAAGGAATGTACACGCCAATGAGAATCATGCACTTTTTCTCCTTTGTAACAAAATTTGATGAGGCTCTGAAATTGTACATATTGGTTAGAATTGGACTTTGGGAGAAGAGATGCTGGCACTGAACCCCTTGGTGCTCAAAAGGAGAAAATCCCCAGCTCTCCGTGCCGAGGGGTTAAGGAGATGGAAGGATGTTGCTGTTGACCGTTTGAGAACGGAAGTGCTCTGACAACCCGGCGACGTCTCGCTGTGAAGGAACCGCGACCGGCATGACCGTGACAAATGCACCATACTTGGCAAAATGCACACATCTCGAGTATTCATCAAGTAGGCAGTAAGGGGTAAGAACCTGGTGTGTTTATTCCAATCATGGTACATTTATCACTGAATTAAGCCATCAGGGAGAAACCAAAACAACACACACAAAAAGAACACCTCCAGCTTTTCTTTTTCTGTATATATTCATGTCCCCAAATTCCAACATTTCTCACTGAAAGGGGACATGTATGCAAACCTCATCTTTCTCCTTCATTAATGATGATCTTCAGATTAAACCCTTTGGTGCTAGGAGCTGACATTTTCCAAAGCAGCCTATGAAGTCCAGGGGCTGGGGGTCCTTGCTGCGGCCGCAGGAGGCCAGCCGGCCCCGTGGAGCGATTGTGGAGATGTCTGTAGTCACATGTTCTGACAGCTCCCCGTGGAACACTGCGGCATGACATGGTATGACGACCCAGATGCATTGTGTGGAAGAGCAAGTGACTTTCTAAGTAGGATGAATCATATTCATACGCAGATGTCTTAGCCTCGTGGCGCTGGGAGTGTGGATCTGTAGACGAGACACCACTGCTGGCGGTGGGCAGGCCACTGGGACTGATGGGGGTCAAAGGGCATTTTACTAAGGCAGCTAAGACATATTCAGACATAGGTTTTATCCTAATTTTTCATATTCCTATCTGAGTGAAATTCATCCTTAGCATTGAGTAGGAAGTTACAGGAAATGGTAGTTCATTCTTACTTACACATGTCGCTTCACTTTTTCTCCACCCTTGGAATTCTGTTGAATGTTTCACTTTGACCAGAAAGTAGACTAGAAGGTATGTCCTATAAGTTGTCTCGCATCCATTTTATCCAAAAGGAACAGGTAGAGGCAGAGAAGGTGGTTGATGTTCGTGCGGAGCGGCATTCCTCTGGCAGAGGAGGGCGACCCTGTATACTAAGCACTTCGATAGCTTCCCCCCACAAACCTTAAGGTGATTTCCCGTGACCTTGGCCAAGGACACTTCCTGAAGATGAATGACCGGGCTGACAGTGCCCTGGGCCGGCCACGCCTCACGGCTGGCTCTCCATCTCCAGCCCGCATGCAGGGCTCACTTGCACTGGACCTTGAGATGCGCCAGGGCCAGCAGGGCCTTTCCTTGGCTTCCACGCCCAGTCCCCCTCGCTCTCGCTCCCAGGTATCCATCAGCTGGCGCGGAGGAATGACAGGATAACAGATGTGCATGCGTGCGTGCGAGCGTGTAGAGGAAGGTTTCCGCACCTGCCCTTGGGGCTGCCCGTGGCCACGGTGGGGGCTGCTGGCAGAAGGGGAGGCCCAGAACCCGGCGTTGCTCCATCAGAACACGGGTCAGACACAGCGGACTCCATCCCGCACTAACTTCCGTGAAGTCTGCCCTCTTGTCTTAATGCAGCCATCTGGGAGGAAATTGGCCATTTCTGCTTGGATTTTTTGGCAGGTTGCTCACAGCTTTGCTTTCTACACTAATGACATAGCATTATTCCAGTATTGTTTTCCATTTCCCGTACCTGATTTCCGGCTTCTTAAAGCTGACTGTTCTTGCAGGGGCCCCTTGCTTCTCCTAGAGGACAAAAGTAAGGGCCTTCCTTACTAACTGCAGGGTCTCTGTATTACACCTCAACGTACACACTTTGCTGCTACTGTTCATACTGTCTACAGTAGAATTTCCTTATCTTGCTCCTGGTAGTGCATTACAGGCAAGCATGAAATGTAAAGTATTTATTTAAATAAAAAGAAAAACCTCTAAATTGGTAATTGAATTACCTCCCTGTAGCTTTATAGTTTGTGACATTTCTTGACCTTGCTAGTTCTTTCATTAGATCCGCGCAAGATCTAGTCATCCGGTTAAGGATTTTAAGCAGACGCAACTACAAACCCAAGAAAAACTGTATTACTATTACTGTCGGTCATACTAAAACTGTTCATTTCTTTAAGTATATATGACCCACAAGGATGTGAAATAACTACAAGAAACTGTTTTTGTACACTGTACATCCTTAGTATTTTTACACGTATATGATAGGGATGCACATTATTTTCCTTCGTACAGACGGCTTAAATAAAGCACTATGTCAATCTGCTACTTCTCTGTTTATTGTTGTTGGACGTGGTTCTGTAGTCTCAGAAAATATGCTTTTCTGGAAAAAAAAAAAAAAAAGATTTTTAATAGCTCCAGCTGGTATTAACCTACCCTGTATAAAATGTGAGAGGAGAATAACGTCCGTCTCTTGTAGCCCCACACACACACAGGACTGCTTTGTTATTTACTTGAGTAAAATGGCAATAGTGCAGTTGTGCAGACTTGGACGAGGGGCCACTTCTGAAGGGGAGGTGCTGACCCCGCAGTTACGGGTCTCAGGTGCATCTCCTGTGAAGTCAGGGATGAAGGGGGCTCCCTGGAGACGTGTTAGGGACCTAACAAGTTTCACACCAGACGGTTTGGGCCCAGAACTCTTCAGGAGTTTCGCTCCTCAGTGATGTCTTCCTGATAATCTTACACGTGTTGCTCTGCATACTTCCTTTCTTAGAATGTACGTTGGCAAGTTAACAAACTTAGTCGTGGGTGAGAAATGGGTAGGGTGGTTGTACTCCAGTCTGATTTATCTAGACTCATTTTGGTTGGGGCCTTTTTCTGATTTTACCTCATAAACCTACTATTGTACAAACTTGGCTTTGCTCCTGTGACTAAGCTGAGTGGAGGAATGGCTTTGGGACCAGAGTCAGGCACGTGTGTGTCACACGGGCAGATCCGAGGGTGTCCTTATGTTTGCTCTTCTCTCAAAACCGCTGGGATGGACAGATCAGGAGGCTAAAATAAAGTGACCTCTACAATTCTTTAAGGGTGCTATTTGTAGAATATTGTAATTTATTTACTCTAGTCCTCAAACAGAATTAGGGACAGTTAACCTATCTTAGGTGACAACCTTGATGTCTAGCACATTGGATTAAATCAAAAACTGAATCCATATAGTAGAAGTTCTACTCTTTCAGGCTTGAACCTTTGACATGCTCGAGAGACTTCTGGAAGGTCTTTGCGTATGTATCATCCCATCGCCTCTGAAGCCTAATCCCCGTGTCTGTCCCAAGAGGCCACGGGAGGGCCAGTGAGGGCGAGGATTCGGGAACGCTAGCCAGGAGAAGGGCCTGAGGTCAGGGCCTCCTCCTGCCTGCTGGCAGCCTTGCCTTTAGCACTTCATTGTCCTCCTCAAATAAAACACAACACTTTCAGTGCCCAGTTTTTATTACTTTCAAGCATCTGAGGGCTTAACTGTGTAGTAGAAATACTCTCTTAAACTAACGATCCATGTACAGATATCTGATAGACCTCGAAGTCAACTTTGTAATTCCACGAAGTACATTCGTAGGCTCCTCTCAAATACTGCACATTCAAGAAGAAACCTGACACCACCAAGCCAAAGACGCTTTCTTGTCTGTTTTCCTTGTGAACAGAGTGGACAGGATAAACAGTGCTTCCTGGTGTCTCCCGACTGTGCCCAGAGAAGCAGGATGATAAGTAATGGAGTCTTACGAGATGTTGATTAAAAGCATCAGAAGTTAAAGGATGCTCTCTAGCTCACGAAGAGGGAAGGAAACGTGAATGACAGGAAGAAAGTCTGGTCCTTAATACCCTCTGGCCTAGTTAAAATATGTGCCTTTTTGGTGTGTTTCGTTCATCACTACAAGGTAAAAAGGAAACATTACAATTCAGGTCTTTAAAAAAGTTCATTTATTGAAAGTCGTGTGTAACAGCATACAAATGAGCAGATCTAAAAACATCATCACTTCAAGCCATTTCTGGAGACCTAGCAGGAGGGCGCATCATCCGGTGTCAGAGCTGAGCCGCAGCCGCCCGCACACAGGTGCCGCCAAGCAGCGGACGGGGTGCCGGGCGAGGAGCTCGCTGCCGTCCCAGGCGCTGGCTGCTGTTCCGGAAGGTCGTGGCGCGCTGTGGCATCTCACGAACAAATCAGATGAATGTAAATATCTCTTTGTAAACCATTTATTTCACTCTGTTTCGTCCAGGTCAGCAATCAGATTGTCGCATGCTGGGTAACTGGAAAAAAATGATAATAAAAAGTAAGTTTAAATAGATCTTGTTCTTCCCTGTGATTTGTCTTCTCACTGGCTGAGGTGCCCTTTCTACGTTTATGAAGAAAAACCACTCTTTTGGCTAAAAATGCAGGGACTGTTTGTAACCCCACAGATGAAAAGTTTGCACTCCCACTTGACTATGGAACATGAGGTGAACGACTTTAAGGCTTTAACTCTGAAAATGACCCATACCCCAGACATGTGTCCATGTCTTGAGGAAGGGCGGAGAGCCACCACCTCTGTCCAGGGAAGGAGACCCCGATCCATGCCAGGACCTCTTTACTGAAAACCGCTGAGACATTACAGCTGGGGAACCTAGAACAAAAACAGGATGCAGGCCAAGTGTCCCTGAGACGCTCCTAGTGAAATCAAAACGAATGAAAACTTCCCAAGTTTTTAGCAGCAGACGTTATTATAACATATATAAGGGCATTTGTTCTTTCACATAGAAACCACCTCCCACATGCTGGAAGAGGGAATTTGGTGTATCTGGCCTCTTGGCTTTAAACAGGAATAAAGGTTTCAAAACCAGCTCATGAAAACTGGGTTGAGGGGAGTCACAGGTTAGTGGAGTTTGAGTACAGCGTTGATGGGTCTGGCCCACGGGGCTGCTCAGATGAGCTTAACTCACAGCTGGAAGTGGTGCCAGAAACCACTGCAGACAGTTCCATTCTACAAAACAGGGCAACTCCTGGGTACCTAGCCGGTACCACATGCGAAGATGAATAAGACATTGACCTCAAGGAGCAGGAGGTCCTAAGGATGGTGGGCAGTCTGGTCGGCAATCACCTTCCAGAAAGACACGTGGACCTCTCTCTGCACTCCCCAACGCAGATTTCCTGAGCTAGAATCGGCAGGGGGAGGGAGGCTTCTGTGAGAACCCAGTTCCAGCCACGATTACTTGAGGATTTCCAAGACAGGACAGTGAGTGACAGATCAGAACTCACGCAAGAAAAATATGAAAATCAGTCTGTTGCCTCTTTTGAAAGATGCAAAAAGGGAATGTTTCTATCTCAGGTGGGCCTCGGTGTGTGTGACACTGATCATGTGTCTTCAGTGCGCAAGTCTGTAAGTAGAAGGGTCATTAGAATGGCACGTGTACAGCTGTCCCGCTTGGAACACAGGTGGGGGCTGTGCACTAAGTGGGATGTGTCTCTGTGAGCACAAGGATAAGCATAAACCACGACCGGCATATTGCAAAAGAAAAAGGTAACCGAACTTTGGGTAGAAGACACACACACCCCCAACGTCCGTACAGAATAATGGTAAAGACCTGCACTAGAAAGAAAATGTTGCAGGAGTTCTTTTAAACTGAGCTCAAGAAAACGCATCTCTGACTGCAATGAGTTCACAGTGCCCATGGGCTCCAGGCCCATTTGGTAACTGATCATCACCCGACTGGTCCCCTGGCGGCCTCTGGTGGCCCCCTGGAACCTGCGACCTCCGGCGCCTGTGGGATCCCTTGGGAGCAGTGCAGGTGTGAGGTCCCAGGTGTGAGCAAACCAACAGGAGCCAGCCGCAATCTCTCCACTGGAGCAAATTCCCTGTCACTATGTCTTCGCTGGTTTGGTACTTTACTTGGTTTTGATGCAAAACCCTCCTGATTTTAGTATTAGAGCCCCAATATTACCATACACTGGTCTGGGATCCCCGGTGCCTGCACTGCCCACCGCATCCCGTAAACATCTGAGTAAATAAGTCACCTGTGCCCACATCACTGTTTGGTGTACAAATGCAGCACGCAGTATTGCCCTCCATTCGCTGGAGCTTTGGTAGAGAACATTCCTGAGTGCTCCCCCCAGCCCGCAGCATGTCCAGAGACGGAGAACCTTTAGCTGCTGCCCAATTCCCACTCATCTGCCATCACTTCTTAGGGCTATTTAGTCATGCTTATTTCCAGAAAGTTGGGTCCATCGTCCACACCAGTGATCACGGTCTGGTTGGGGGGTGGGTGGGGAAGAGTGAGGATGCATGTGCCAGCGGGACATTAGCTGGTTTGAACTGGGGCTGGAGCCCTTGGCCACCACCTCCCCATCCTCTGCCTTCCAACCTGTCACCGCGGCCCCTTGCTGCGGCCTGCCTGGGTGGTGTGGCCACATCTGCCGTGGTCTGTGGCTGCCCTCCAGAAGAGGGGCGGGCCAGCACGGCACTCCGGCAGCTGCTCCTCTGAAATGCTGTCCACAGATGACAGAAATGCCCCCCATCTACACACCCACTGCTGCGACCCCATCTTCTTTGTTCTCGTTGTAAGACCTAATAGAGCCTTCTCTCCACAAACCCTAACTTTTGTGTTTATTTCTGAAGTCTGACTTGAAATTCAGAGCTTAAAAAATGAGTCTTTGGGTGACCTGACTTGTTCCCCAGGCAACCATGCTGTGGGGTCCAGCGGAGCCTTTTCTGCGGCTTTGTTTCCAGACTCCCCGGGCCCCCTGCCTCACACACCCCACCCTAGGGAATGCCCGCCCCGCCTCGCCCCTGCTCACAGACTGCGCTCGCTCAGCCTCACCCTGACCCGAGTTTCCATGCGCAAACCACCCAGCCTCCCGCTAGTCTCCCCACATGCAACACCCCCACCCGCCTCACTCATTTGCACATTTTCTGTTTCTGTTGGCCAGGTCAAAAAATGGCCCCGTTCCTTGTGCCTCTAGCAAGAAAGCATCTATTTTTAACCAGAAGCACCTCACCCCCGTACCTCGAGGTGGGGCGTTCTCAAGCTTGCCCCCAGTGAACAGAGCTCCAGGGAAGCCACCAGTAGCTACCGCTTGGGGGTTCAGAGCCGGCTGCAGGCCCCACCCCGGGAGAGAAGCAGATGGACGCCCACCTGTACTTGAGGCCCGTGGCGCAGGGACTGGACACCACCTTCTCGAGAAGTCCAGGTCCCTGCCAGTCACTTCCCAGTCCTCTCCACTTCATTTCTGGGCCTTCTTTGTCCTGCTAGTATAGGAAGGTCTATGAATGACTTACCCAGAGGCCCCTTTGTGCCTCCAACCAGGTCGGCTTCATGGTCACCCCTGCTGGCGTCGGGGTCATGCAGGGGCCCCCTCTTAAGGGGAAGCAGGTTCTCTTTTTAAGGGCTTTTGTGTTTTGGTTTTGACCAGGACCTGAGTGGTAGGAAAGCTAAACCACTTCCCGGGAGTGGTACAGAGCTGAGATCCGAGCCCTGGCAGTGTGACCTTCAAGCCCCAGCTCTGCTCAGCGAGAGCCCAGAAGCCATGGAGTGTGACTTTTGCGGCACCGAGCAAGAGTCAGACGTGGAAGGCCGGCCGGCACACACAGGCCACGTGGACTCCGGGCGGTCACCAGGCCCTCCCTAGTCCTCCGCAGAACTTTGTGGATCACGGCCTAAGGGGGCAGATCGGGGTGGGAGGGAACCACAACATTTCAGAAGACACAGGGCACACGGCGGGCTGCCTCCAGGTCAGCAGTCTTGCCTTGTGCCCAGCAAAGTGGCCCACACGCTTGCTGACCTTCTCGGGCATCCAGCTGTTGGCAGGTGCAAAGCAAGCCCAGAGTTCACGGCGAGGTCACCGGCACACCCGTCTGTCCCTTCTGCCCTCGGGCTGCCCAGCTGGGCCTCTGACCACCACGGGTCTGTGCAGGCAGAGGTCAAAGCCCTGGGTTCCCTAGAACCCGGGGACCACAGGCCTGACTCCCTGCTTCTGGGCTCCCAAAGTGGGAGGAGTCCAAAGGAGTCAGAGAAAGGGAAAGGCAGAGGCCAGACAGCCTTCCTTGCAGAACGAACGCAGGGCCCGGGCTTCCTTGGCTTCCTGGAGAACAGCAGCTGGAGCTGGACTTGGGACCAGCAGCCCCGGGGAAGGCGGGGAGCCCTGGGAGCATACGGCCGGGGTCGGAGTGCAGGGGCGCCCCGCTCCTCCCGGCGGCTCTGCCGGCACCAGGGCCCCACACCTCGTGCGGTTCCGTGATGCCGTCTTCCGGCTCTGGAATCCCGCGAGTCCCGCGAACTTCCCCTGCACGCGGGCAGGTGTCTGTGTTTTAGAGGGACCATGTTTCCATGGTAAATAGATTTTTAAGAATTCCCAAAGGACAGACAGTGTCACCAACAGCAGAGAGAGGAGCCTCTGGCTGCCTCATGTTTGAAAGCGTTAAGAATAAAGACAACACTGACATTTGGGGTTGTAATGTGACGGAATCACAGTCTTTTAAAGGCAAGAACCACTTCTCCACACTCCATGCAATATTCAGTGTTTTGTTCACTTGTCTAATTGGATTAAAATATTTAGCTCCCTTTAAAATCTTGATTGTGAATTTATATTGCAAAATGTAATGTCTGACTCAGGAAGCAGTAACTGGGGCAAGTGTGTCTGAGGCAACAGAAAATTTGATTTATTTTTCTTCCATGAGTCTCATTCTGAAATTATTCACTCTTGGACAAAGTGAACTGTTAAACGGAAGAGCGAGTTTGGCTTCGATGAAGCCGTATGTGCTTTTCAGTATTAATTACACATGGGGTCTTCCGTGAAACCACCACCACCACCACAACCACAACAACCCACAAAAGTTAAACTGTGCTATTTGAGTTGCTCGGGGAAGTTTCTCTTGAGGGTCGCAAGACCCTTATGTTGGAAACACAGCACCAGGGGTCTCGTGTCACTCTTTAGAAACACTCAGGCAGCAGGGAGTTAATGACATTTTAGCTGCATATGTTCAAGTGTATTTAAAAAAATATGCAAGTCACTTTGGTTGACAGTGTCTTGTACACAGTTTTGAAAGAATCAGGGCAAACTTTAACAGAGTCAGTTTTTATTTGAAAAATATTTTCTGGGAATGTATCAGTGTTTATTTTTGAGACTGACAATTCGGGTGAAAATCAGGATAAAAACAAAAAAACAACAATTTGGTTGAAATCAAATTGTTTGTTTTCATCTATTTAGAATTCTTTCCAAAAAATCTTGGTTCAGGAGGAGGCTTTCTAATTTATTTTATTCAGTGTATTTGCTGTTCTATTCAAGCGCCATCTGTCCTGCAGGTAGCTGACTTTGGGGAAGCGCCCACGTGAGGCGGGCGAGGCCCCCAGGGCTCCGGAAGGACCCCCGCAAAGCCGCGTGCACCTCCAGGTCCCGTTCAGGGTGAGCAGCGGGCACACCCTCCTCAGCGGGACCCCCGCCCGGTGACCCTCCCTTGAGCGGCCACTGCGAAGGTGCCCTGCCCCTGGCTTCAGGTCACAAGTGGGCCCTGCCTCCCCGCCTCCCCTGCGCCGGGTCCTTTGCTCGGTTCAACTCTCTTGCCGGCTCCTTCGGTGTAATGAGATCGTGTCCATGATTTTGAATATAATCACATGTGGCTGCTGGATCCAAGCACAAGTTTGAATCACATTAGAAAGTCAGTTCACTGCCAAGAATGCTCAAAAGTCACAGGGCCTCCTGATTAACCCCTGATAAGTCAGTCTTATCCTGACTGTAGAGACGCTTCATCTGCAGACTGAGCACTGAGGACGGAGCCACAGGGCCCACGGGGAAGGCAGCTATCAGAAAACGAGATCTGAACCCTGAGTCATTGCCCAGCGTTATACCCCAAACTCTCTGGGGTATAAAACCATCCTCTGAAGGGATACCTTCTGTTCTTTCCCATCTCTCAGCCGCCACTCTCCCCGAGAAGAGACTGATTTCCTTAGAAGCTGGCATCACCCTCCTTAGCCAGAGGTTAGAGCTCCAGGCACCAGGTCCCAGAACGCTGACCCTGCTCCCAGCCACTAGGCCCCACCACCACTCCCCTGAGACCCAGACAGAGTCTCTGTCCCCCCCCCCCCCGGCAAAAAAAGAGGCAACAGGGCCTGTGCCCAGAGAGGGGCTGTGGGGCCATGTCTGCAGGCAGGCTGGGTGGGGGGCTTTGGGGCTCCATTTCTCCACAATGACCAGCATCACCATTTTAGGACATTTTAAAAGCCATTTTCTAGAAGTCCCCTGCCCGCAGCGTGAGGCAGGAGAGTAACAAAGGCACTGCATTTAGTCACACGAAGAACAAGGTGGACCAGAAGCCCTGAACCAGGCCCACTTGGCCGGCCCAAGTCCTGCACACCAGCAGTATTGGAGGGGAAGGCAGGAATTCTCACAGTTAAAAACATCATGCGGCCTAGTTAGGCCCACGACCAGCTCGCTCGGCCAGACTGCTGTGCGGGTTTTAGAATGTAAGCAGAAACGACTCAGAATAAAAAAACCTTCTGAACAGACGTCACTGTTTTCCTATCATGGGCCGCAGGCCAACCCCAGGCCAGTCATCAGCTCCAGGACCCAGGGCTCAGGACCCAGGAGCAAACCAGAGTCCTGGGACTCAGCATCAGGTGGACAAAGAGTTTGAGAGTTTGACCTACCCCATTAAGTCCTTAGGCTTACTCCAACCACACTGAGAACACAGAAGCCTTTAGCTAAACATTTCATCCCTAAATGAAAAGATGAACCAGTGTCTCTCCAGGAAAACAGGGAGTCGGGTCAGTCCCTTGGGAGCTCGCAGCAGGAAGATGTCCTCCTATATCCCTGCTGGGGGCACACAGCGGCCTCATTTACTTAAAGGGCTGGAAGCTAAACTCACAATTCCAGTTTATTCCATGGCCGAAGTAGGTCTAATGCCACACTTGGGTAGAAAGAGCAGGCCTTTGGTTTAGATATTCGGCAGAGAGCTTGCAAAACTGGATCCTTGCCTCTTCTTTGAACACTAGTATTTGCTACTGAAAGCCAACAGTCCCTCTATGAAATGTCTTTTGTCGTGTTCATATTAAAATAACTCCAAATATACTATTTGAATCTGAAAGATCTCTTTAGAGATGAGCCAGATGGGCTGGGATCAGATAACTCAGGATGGTCGAATCATCTCTGTGGCTTCAGGCAAGAGAAGAAAGACCTGCTCCCTTTTTTTGAGGATTTTTTGAGGTTTGGGTTTTGTTTGTGTTTTAAATGCATTTTATGAAAATTCTGCAATCCATTTGGCAATTATCAGGTTTTTAAAGCCCTGGAAGAGGTTTCTAAGCATTGATGGTCCATGTTCAGATTTGAGTGGCTGTGAGGTAGGCAGATGGGGAGTTAAAAGGGAAATCCTACATGATAATGATCTGGTCCAGAATCAATAGGAAACTGCCATGTGCTCAGAGCTTGGACAGAAGACTCCCCACAAGTCTTATTCTGAAGTGGTTCTTGGCTCCTAGAGCCAAAGGATTCACTCATGCTAAGAGCCCCTGTCCTTCCACCACATGTGACAGGAGCCTGGTCCCCCACCTGGAGAGCCGGTGGCCCCAACCTTTGGCTAGCTCCATGCACGGCCTCCTGCAGGACCTGCCCAGACAGGTTGTGGCCGGGGTCGAGCCTGAGCCTTTCAGGGCCTCCAAAGCTCCGCGTCCCTCAGAATTACCCAACCAGCTTGTTAAAATGCCGATTCCTGGCGTGTGTGGCTGGAGGCTGTGAATCGGTGTCCCTCGCAGTTACCCATTTGCAAGCCCCCCAGACGCCTGTGATGAGCGGTGTGAGAGGGTCAGCGGCGCCAGGGCCACGGGGTACAGGCGGGTCCGCAACCCCAGGCCGCAGTTCAGCGCCTGGCACTGGGGTTTTCTCTTACTCTCCGCGGAGATATGAGTAGTACCGGCAACGGTTTCAGTACGCGGAGTGGGAAAACTTCCTCAGAGGAGGGCGGCTCCCCAATACCCATTCAGCACAGTTTGAAAGAAGAGAGAGAGACAGCTTCTCACTCTTCTCACGGCCAGAGGCACTCTTCCCATTCATCATTCCAAGCACTCCCCGTGTGGGCGCCTGGGGCTCTCCTAATACAGCATCCTAGGACAAGACAGAGACGGGGGCCAGTCCCTGGACCACCTCATTATCCTAACATGCTGCTTGATGGGGCAAAAAGTACAGCTTCTCCGGCAGGAAGAGAAGCCATTTAGGGGAAAAGGCCTCACACCGTACTGCTGACTCACCGGGATACTCTCCTCCCTCCATGATCCCTTTCGGTGGCCCCAGATCTGCCCCCAACAGGGAAAGCCCGGACTGTGGCGTCAGCCTTAGGTGCCATTTGTAGTGTCCCGACTGCTAGCTCTGCAGGCTGTTGCAGCCTCGGTTTCCCTAGCTGCGAAGCGGAGACAAGCATCGACCCTGCAGGCTCGTTCAAGGGCAACGTGAGTTCGCGCACGCTGTACAGGCAGCGCTGCCGCGCGCAGTCACCAGCCGCTGCCGTCGGACAAGACTCCTGCAGCCACTCACCGTGGCTCCTCCAACTGGCAGCCCCTCTTTCCTCGGCCACTTTCAACTGTACACACGCCCCGGGCCCTTCCGAGTCTGCTTCCTGCACAAAGCCTGCTCGCCGCTCTAGCCCTCTGCATCCTTCCGCGGGCCACAGCTCCACACTCGGTGCGGCCTGCTGAGTCGAGGGTGGTTCTTGTGCGTGAACTCCAGCTCCCTAAAGAGGCAGGCCCGAGGGCTACACATCCGTGTCCCCCACCATGCCCAGCATGGTCTTCAGGATCCCCTACGGGCTGCCCAACGGGAGCACTGGGGTTTGCACCTGTCATGGCACAGCTCTGAAACAAGGGTCAAGAAAAAGCGCCACGTGCAGACACCGCTATGTCCTCTGGCGGGTGAGCCAGCCCAGAGGACCCCCTCTGCCCCCACACACGTACCCCTGCGCGGGGTCTGACCGGTACCTGGGATCTCAGACGTCCCACCTCTTCGGCCAGGCTCTGTCTCTCCAGAAGAAGCTCGTTCTGCTTTTTGAGAAGCCGCACCAGCTGCTGGGCTGTGGCCTGGCTGTGCTCGTCCAGCTGCTTTAGCCTGCGGAGAAATCCACCGCAGAGTTAGGGATGGGTCCTGAGGCGGGCGGGCATCAAGCTGCAGAGTGGGGGGGCGGGGCAGCTTCAGCCCTTCAGTGCGTCCCACTGCTGTGTCCGAGAGGCCCTGGTTGGTGAACCAGGAGCTGCAAATCCAGGTGACCCCGAGGGGCGAGGCCAGCAGCAGGCCCTTGGAACGCAGCACTGATTAAGATGAATGGAATCACATCAAATGTGGAAGGAAATCAGGAGCCTTCTCCCGGAGTTGTCAATGAGTAAACACACAGACAGGTTGGATAAGGAGAAGAAAAACCAAAACCTTAAACCCACAGAGGTCGAGGATGAGGGGTCTAAACGCTTCCATTGTTCCGTGGGAAACGTCTCTGGCAGGCTGCAGCAGACAGCCCGCCCTGGCTGGGGAAGTGGGCGAGGGACAGCAGAAACACTGAACTAAGGGCTTTCCATTATTAATCACTCAGTCAATCATGAGCTCCGGCATCGCTGACCAGATGTCTTTAAAGATCCTAAATTTGTCATTCTGCTGATGGGCCCTCCTCTCCAGACTTGCTAATTCACTCAAACTATTATCCTCATTTGTCCACAGACGGCTTCCTACAGCACACTCACCCCTGGAAATGTAGGCTTTGGATTAAATTTAGAGTTGCACAACTACCCAGCCCTGTTCGGGAAAGAGCCTGGCTGTGTCCTGCACCCTTCCTCCCAGACCAAAAGCACTGATGGTGAGATTAACTTGTATTTTTACAGGGAAAGAATTTTAAAAGCTCAAGGTGCAATTCAAACTCCAGGCTACACGTCCAACACTCACCGAGTCAAAGGCCACGACATCATGTGCAGATACTGGCGTCAGGCTGCCCCAGGTTAAGCCTCCCTGCGTCCCGCCAAGCCTCTGGCGCATTCCCAGCACAAGGAAGCACTGACGAGGGCAGAGACTAGGGCCTTGGGGTGGGCGGACTCCTTTCCCAACCCAGGAGGGAGGCGGCACCTGCCGGAGGGTAAAACTGCATCCTGAGGGAACCTGACGACATTCTATATTGCTCACGCTCTCCCAGACTCTGGTGCCACCTGCAAGCCTGCCCCTTTCCCAGACGGCACCGACTGCGGGACCTGTCTGCCCGTCTCCACCTTGGAAGGATTTTTGTGGGTCTCTTTGTTTAGGCTGTCCCCGAAGGCACACTCGGGTCCCCACCCGGGTCTCCTCCTCCTCCCCACGCACTGCGAGCCCCCTCTTTTCAAGCACTCCGGGCCTTTCGCTACTTCCCACCGCGGCAAGCACCAGGAGCCGGAAACCAAGAACAGGTGGTGGGCGCTGGGGCAGCAGGGCGCATGCTCACAAAGCCCGCCTCGCCCACCGCCCCCGTGAGGCCGCCGTCTGGCCCCGCCCACAGACCCAAGCCCCGCCCCCTGGCCTCAAGCGTCCTCCCGGTCCTGGAGAAACCCTAAGGAAGGAGCCAGGGAGGGACTTAGTTCTTCTCTCTTGTGTGTGTGGCTGTTCAGGGTCAGGCTCAGGTGCTCCGGCCCTGACTGGCCTCCCAGCGTCCCAGATCAGGCTGGGGCAGACCCGAACACAACGATCTTCCAGCCAGGTGTGAGCGCTTTGCCGCTTCCACGCGGTATACACGATGGTCGTGCCCCCTTGCCCCTGTGACCCTGCCTCCGATCCTGGTGAAGCCAGGGCACTGCAGCTTTGGGAAGCCCCCTCTGTCCCCACGGCCACCCATCACACTGTCACACGGGGACAATTCTTCCTGAGAGCAGCCCCCAAACCACCCCACGGGCGTCAGACCAAACGGGAGCTTCCCTGCACCGTCTCCTGCGCAGAGAGCAGCTGGGAGGGGCGAGGACACCCCAGGGTGGCAGAGAAGCCGGCTGTCGGCTTGCGGCAGGGCAGGGGCACTCTCCCCGGACTGACCACCGACAGATGCCGGCAGCCACCGCCCATCTGAGCAGCTACTCCGCTGTCCTGCACTGAGGTGGGTCCCCTAGAGGAGAGAAGAGCCTTTTTCCTTGAGAAGCAGACAACCTACCGCTTGGGTATTTCAATCAGACAGGGGGAAAGCACCGTCATTAGCAGCTGAGCTGTCTAAACCCTCGAGTGGCTTTCTCCCTCCCATCAAGCCCTGGGTGTGGAGACAGCCACCGGCTAAGCTCTGGCCGGGCGGTAGGCCACTGGCTTCAGGCTTGCTGGAAACAAATGTAACAGAAACATGGGATAAATAGATGACACCATTAAGGCTTAAAGACAACAAGGCGCCAGGAGTGGCCTTTCCCCATGTGGTCCCTTGCCCTGTGCTTTGATCAAATGGGCTAACAGTCCTGTGGACTGATGGCTTCAGTGTGTGTTTCTGGGCCCCTGGAAAGAGGTGGCTGCCTGATCCAGAGCTAAGGGCTGAGCCAAACGCTGCTCTCACAGCACAGCATGCTGGCCACAGGCTGGCCACGCTGGCTTACGGCCAGAAATGGGGCCAGTCCCTGCCTAGACCCTTCTGCCTCGGAGGCCCCAGGACCTAGACCAGGCTCTGCTGGCGCCATTTTGCAAACCGTAAGCTTCAGCTCCCTGCGGCGATCACCTGAGAGTACCCAGGCCCCACCTGGAGCCGCTGAATTAAGTCCCCGGGTCTCACAGAAGGACCTCGGGAGACCCCTCCTCCACGAGGCTGAAACTCCTCCTGCCCCCGGCTCACGGTGGGAGCCGATGTGAACGCTCCAGGCGGTCAGTCTCGGGGGGCTTTGCACCCTTAAAAAGACATGCCCCTTCTTGTTCGAGGTCAGCTTCCATTAGGTCACTCCACGTGCAGCAATGAAGTCAATCACAAGGTCAGAAAAGGTAAAAATCACCACCAAACCAAACCCACATTGGTTAAAAGACAGAAACAAACCCAGATTTTAGATAAAAGGGACTCAGTTAAGGAAATAAATTTCAATAGCAGCTCTCCTGAGGTGTTTTATGGATAGTGGGAAGTTTGGTTTTTTTTTGTTTTTTTTTTTTGTTTTTTTAATTAACAAGTTATTTCTTGGAACAGCCTGCCCCAAACACTGCACAACCCTGCCTGTACTCTGTCCTTGTCTCCCTGCACAGATTAGCGAATTAAAAGGTAGGTGCTAGACCCCATCTTACAGTCGAGAGACCGAAGCTGAGAGGTCTGGGAAGCTTGCACAAAGCCATAGAGGAAGCACGGGAGCTCGGGGTCCTCTTAACTATTGTTAAGGAATGGTTCATTCCCTGAGTTAATTCAACAAACCAAGCAGTTAACCCTTCCTTGGGAAACACCTCTTGTGGGTAAAATACTATAGGGTAGATACAGGGTCCAGGAGGCCCCAGCCTCTGCTCTCGCCCGTCCCACGAGGCAGGAACTAGTCTGACCCCACTTTAAGGACAAGGATCCCCATGCACAAGGAGGAAGAGTGGCTGGTTCTGGCCCCTCAAGCCAGCAAGTCAGGATGCGAAAGGGGAATGGGTATTGTCCTGGGCAGGGGCTCCCCAAAGGAGAAGGGGCACTGCAAAGGCCATGCTGTCTGCAAACCGAGAGCACACGGTGTGGCAGGACCAGAATCCCCAGGCTGTTCACACGGTCAGTGATGCTGGTCCCAGTCCAGCCCTGCAGCCAGACCAACAGCTGTGGACCTTGTCCAGGCAATGGTGGTCCCTGCACCAGGAAAGAGAGGATGGGCGGAGGGACAGGCCTGGGATAGAAGTTCTGGGGCCAGAGGGAGGTACCCACGAGCTGTGCACCTACCGAGCAGGTATGCGGCCTGGGGCCTGGGGCCTGGGGCAGGTCTGGCTGGATGTCCAGCCGCGGGCTACACCTGCTGAGAGGAGTGGCCATGAACGTGGGGCAAGATTCACCCAGGAGAGCCGGGCAGAGGTTTTCAAGTTTGTTAAAAATACAGGTGTCCTTGGGGCATCTGGGTGGCTCAGTCGGTTGAGCGTCCGACTCTTGGTTTCCATTTGTGTCATGATGTCGGGGTCCTGGGATCGAGCCCCAAGTCTGGTTCCAAGCTCAGCGGGGAGTCTGCCTGTCCCTCTCCATCTGCTTTTCCCCCTGCTTGGGTGCAGTGTGCTCTTTCTCAAATAAATTAATATTTAAAAATCTTTATATAGGCATCCAAGCCACGACACATGTCTGCTGCGATGAGAGGGAAGAGAGCCAGGACAGGCCCTCGGGGATTGGCCACATTTACTGGGTAGCAGGGGACAGGGAGCCACCGAGCCACGGAGACAGACGACCGCGAGGAGGCAAGCCTGGAGAGAGAACCTGGAGCTTAAGAGGAGAGGCTTTCCAGGAGGAAGGGGGGGCTCTGTGTGATGCGCCACTAGGTGCTGGAACAGGCCGTGGGGGTGCTGGCCACGGCTGCTCGCCCTGTCCAGAGGGAGGTGTGGCGGAAGAGGGGACACCATTCTGGAGAGGGGGAGAGGGGCTTGGCAGAGGGCAAAGGAGCAAGAGGGGTGCAGAGGGAGGAAGGGGCTGGAGCCGGTGGGCAGGAAAGAGGGGGATTCCACGAGGCGAAGGGTGCCAGGCTTCCCCAGGCAGGAAGGCACCTGCAGCAGAGCCCGGGGCCCTCCTCACCAGCGGGGTAAGGAGAAGCCCCTGACCCACAGCCATCCCGTTCTGCCCCGGTTGGAGGGCACAGGTGTTTGTCGAGAAAAGAAGCAAGGTGACGCGCTGTGCCCGCGAGCTGCTGTGAAGGGTGAGCGCACCTGCCGGGGCGGGGGCGCGGGCACGAGGGCGGAGCCGAGGCAGAGCCTTCTCGCGTGGACACGGGCGCCCCGCCTGACCCTTCGGACAATCTCACCCCGTCCCGGCCCTGCAAGGACTCCTGCTCTCCAGCCACCCAGATGCCCCTCTGCTCCCCTGCGGCCGTTCGGCGGGGGGTCTCGGAGCAGGTCCCCTCCTATTTCGAGGCTCAGCGCTCGGCTTAAGTGTCATCCTGAGAGTTTGCAATTTCTTGTTCTGTTCGGGTTCCCGTTTGGAGCCATTTCTTCCC